CCCATCGACCCTGCCTGAATGTGAACAAGGGGCGTTGCCCCAACCCCCCAATCCGCCCCACCCTGAGTGTGACTGAGGGGTGGCATCCACAACCTCCAAATTCGCCCTGCTCTGTGCATGACAGGGGGCGGCGCCCCAACTCCCCCAATCAGCCCTGCTCTGAGACCGACCAGGGGCTGCACCTAGGGATTGGGCCTGCCCTCTGCCACTCAGGAGCAGGCCTAAGCCAGCAGGTCGTTATCTCCTGAGGGGTCCCAGACTGCAAGAGGGCACAGGCTGGGCTGGGGGACCTCCCCCCCCCCCCCCGAGTGCACAAATTTTTGTGCACCAGGCCTCTAGTATATAATAAGCCAGCTGAATAATCAAACTCTGAAATGATATGTCAAAATCAGTATCGAAAAACAAACCATAATTTTAGTATCATATAGCTAATTAACAACTGACCTAAGGAAAGTTATAGATAATTGCATTATTCAGAAATTGTTATGATCATTTCTTTGACCTGATCACTTATAAATAGGAATAGAAGTAGTTTAAAATCATAGTGCGAGGATAAATAAAAGATCGGAAGGTACTCTTCAACTGCCGAAACCACTTCTTTCCAACAAGAGGATGATGAGACCTTTACTGCTAATGAAATTTATGCATCTATTTGAAATCATAGCAAAGATTACTCGATTTCTTAGTTATGACAAAAATGAATATACCAAATCTTTTAACTTTAAAAAAGTAATGTAAATCTGTAATTCTTAGCCTGAGAGCAAAAATATAGTCTTCAATTACAAATTCTACAAAGCTTTAGAGCTCTCAGCCAGTTAAACCTTATCATGCCCCTTTGAGATTTACTCTAAAATGAGATTAGATTGAAACTTCAGAGGACTTCTTTGTCATAGCTGTTTCTATAATTTGAAAGAAATTATATGCTTTTAAAAATGTTTTAAAATAGAGTTTCTTTCCCCCTCTAAAGTTTCCTATTTCATTTTATAAAAAATACATAATCAATATGCAAGCTTTTCAGCTTAAACATAAACTGAAATCTTGAACCTGTATCTACATGGACACCAGTGTTGAATACCTGTTAATGATTTGATGTAAGAACTGGCCACTTTGAGACAATAAAAAGGCCATTTTCACTTGCCACTAAAATAAGTCCCAATTGTGATACCTGACAAAGCATTTTAGACTCAGTAGTCAACTTATGGAAAGATACACAGAGTTTAAAAAATCAATAATCCCTATCCAGTAATAACTTATATCTTATAACCCAATAAATCATATTCAGCTCTAGATAAAAGGATATGCTTATCCATGGCACTGTGAACACAGACCAGAAATACATGAGTAATTATGAGACACAGGTAATATTAGTACAACTGTCAACACAGATTTTTAGAAATACAATTCAGCCTGGAGGCTAGAAGGTACGCTAATTTTTCAAGATCCTTTCTTGCCCTAATTGAAGAAGGATTAAAGATGAATACAATGACTCCAAAAACAGTTTTAAATATTATCTGTATATGATCCTTGCAGATAACTACAACTGATCAACTATGACAGAATGGAATCTCACTCACTAATACAATCAACCACCAGTCAACATGGTTTTTTGTACACTTCCTCCTCTACTATATCTGCAAAATCTCACCCTGTAAAACTCATCACCACAGTAAAGTCAGGCTCCCTATAAATCTTCTGAGAATATAATTCTTCAAAGGCATTTGGCTATGAGGAATTCTCCCTTACTTTACCACACCTGCTTTAAGTTGCAAACCATATGGAATATATTATACTTATACTACCTACCTTTCAATAACTTCAGAAGGCAATTCTAAATTTCTAATTCAGCCTGTAATGCACATGTTTTGAAATAAGATTTTCTATGTAATTCTTGCTTCTTCACTGATTCAAGGCAGCTAAAATGCAATTTTGTAGATCATTCCTAATCTGAATTCCAGTTTTTTCCTACACAAGTTCCTGAACAACAGGTAGGGTTTGCAATCTCAGTACATGACACTCCACTTACCTGTTATAAAGATAAATTTCAAAAAAATAAATAAAGTACAGTCCAGTATAGAAAATACACAGAGAGAGAGAGAAAAAAAAAAAAAACACTGGGCCACTCAAGAGTAGAATATTTCAGATCATTTTTTATCATACAAAATATTTTTTAAATTTAATAGTGTGGACTCTGAGACAATGAGAAGAAATATTCCTTGAAAATACTGGATTACTTTTCAGATAATAAAAGGCAAAAAAATTTAAAAAGAACAATGATGATCAGAAAAATTCCATGTAATCAAAAGAATCCTACATCCCTCCTTTTATCTAACTCTTAAATAAGACAATGTCAACCTTGGCCTCACAATCTTAAAGAAGTGAAATATTCTGTGAACTGAAGTCATACATAAAGCATCTAAACACGTAGGATCCTATATCCTGAGCCAGGTTAGGAAAAAAGTGTTTGCAGAGAAGAAAACCAATGACTCCACTAAGAATTCTCCCACAAAAAGGTAAGACCCAAAGAGTATACAAAAAAATAAATACAAACAAGCAAATTTTGTATCTTTAAAGTTGTTGTATAGGGTTGGTCTTTGTTGTTGTTATTTTTACGGTTAGCAAGTAAATAAGCAACATTCTATTATCAATAACAGCAAATGCGTGTGTGTGTGTGTGTGTGTGTGTGTGTGTGTGTGTGTGTGTGTGGCGGGGGCGGGGGTGGGGGAGGAAACAACCGGAAAGTAACCAGGAAATTATAGCAAAGCAGAAATTCATTTATAATCGTAAGCTAACAACCTTTATATAAGGCAGCAAAGTCTCCTAATGAGAGAAAACTATTAGGAATTTTAAAAGCCAAATGTTTGTACATAGAATTAACAGAAAACTATTGCTATAAAACAAATGCATGATTTTAGAACCCTAAAATCTGAAAGAAAACAACTGTTGCCGAACCGGTTTGGCTCAGTGGATAGAGCGTCGGCCTGCGGACTCAAGGGTCCCAGGTTCGATTCTGGTCAAGGGCATGTACCCTGGTTGCGGGCACATCCCCAGTGGGGGGCGTGCAGGAGGCAGCTGATCGATCTCTCTCATCGATGTTTCTAACTCTCTATCCCTCTCCCTTCTTCTCTGTAAAAAAATCAATAAAATATATTTAAAAAAAAAAAAGAAAACAACTGTCATTCTAGTGCTTGCATCATATTCTGCGATAGTAGACAAATATGATAACCCAAGTTAAATGATTTAAGAAATGTCAGTATTCACTTTCTTTATATCTAATCCCAATCATTGAGGCTTAGTAATAAAAAATAAAAGAAAATATGAAAAACTTAGTTGGTAAAACTGAGAACAAAACATAATTGTTAAAACTATATCTGAACATACTACATTTAAATTTTTGATATATTCAGCTATTTAAAAATCTATGAATCAAAAATGAAGTTGAAATCCAAATTACAAATATTTTAAACAGATTTAAAAGCACTATTTTCTATTCCTTTTTCCACATAAAATATATTAACCAAAAGTCTGTATGATGCAGAAAATGTCATAACAAGATTTTGCTATGATGCTTCATGTTTCCAATTATGTATGCACAGTGAGAAACATTACATGATTCAAAGTTTTCAAAAATAAACACATGCAACTTAAAGTTTTCACAGCTGAATTTACCGTCTTGTGACCATTCTGGCAGGCTACATGCAGCGCTGTCTGCCCCATTGCGTCCTCAACATCGACGTCACTGACGTGCTGTACAAGGTCATGGAGTAGCTCTGTCCGCCCATTCACAGCCAGCCAGTGTATCTGTGCAGTCAGTTAGTTACTTAGCATTTATGCAGGAGTGTTTCACATAAAAACAGCAGATAGATGCTATTACTTCCCAACTGTGAGCATAATACACACTAAAGACTAAAATTAAAATTTAAGCCTATATATATATTTTTTTCCTATATTTTTACAGGGGGAAAAATATGCATCAAGATGTAGGTTACACCACCATGTATTTCAAAATCAAGCACTTCATGGTTCAAAGTAGTTAAGTTTAGACTAAGGATCACCAAATAGTCTGCTTCTTAGATGATCCTGGACTCTATAAATAGGTTTCCTCTATAGAAAAGGTACTGAATAATTTTCCTTCCCCAGAAGCAAACATAAATTAAAAAGTAATTAACAAAGTGAGTGCCATATTCTTTACTTCAGTTGGTTAGAGCATCTACTCCATACTCCAAGGTTTTGTATTCTATCCCTGGTGAGGGCACATACAAGAATCAACCACTGAATGCATAAATAAGTAGAACAACAAAGCATTGCTTCTTCCTCTCTCTCTCTCTCTCTCTCTCTCTCTCTCTCTCTCTCTCTCTCCTCTCTCTCTCTCTCTAAAAAGCAATCAATAAAATTTTTTAAAAATCCAATTAGAAAATGGACAAATGACATGAACTATCATTTCATATAAGAGGATGAACAAATGGTAAAAAATGCACAAATGGTAAAAAACGCATATAAAAAGATGTTCACCAATATCAGCAATTTGGCAAAAGCAAAGTAAAACTACAAGAGATATAATTATCCTAAATAATAAAAGCCTAATATGTTAAGTGTCCGGTCGTTCGGTCAGCCGTTCAACCAATCAAAGCGTAATATGCTAATTATATGCTAAGGCAACTCAACTGCTTGCTATGACGTGCACTGACCACCAGGGGGCAGATGCTCCCACTAGTAGGTTAGCTTGCTGCTGGGGTCCAGCCAATCAGGACTGAGCGAGGCAGGCCAGACATGCCCTGGAGCCCTCCTGGGGTCCCTCCCTGCTGGCCAACCTCCCGCATCCCTCCCCAACCTCAATTGTGCACCGGTGGGGTCCCTCCACCTGACCTGTGCCCCCTCACATTCTGGGACCCCTTGGGGGATATTGGAGAGCCGGTTTCGGCCCGATCCCGCAGGCTAGGCCAAGGGACCCCACTGGTGCACGAATTCATGCACTGGGCCTCTAGTACCTATCATAATTGCTAAAATAAAAAAAACATTAACAATATCAAATGCTAGTGAGGATGCTGAAAAACTAGATTCCTGGTGGGGTGATACAGTCACTCTGGAAAAGTTAGGCAGTGCATTTGAAAACTAAACATGAAAATGCCATACAACCCAGCAACTGCATTCCTGGGCATTTATTCCAGAGAAATGAAAATGTATGTTCACCCCTAAAGCCTGTACACTAATGTTTATGCTTATGGCAGCGTTACTTGCAATAGCTCCAAACAGGAAACAACCCAGTTGTCCTTCAAGAGGTGAATGATTAAACAAACAGTGGTATATCTACACCAAGGAATACTAGTCAGTAATATAAAAGAACAAACTATTGATACACACAAAAATCTAAATCAATCTCCAAGGAATATGATGAGTATACAAAAGCCAATCCCAAAAAATTCCACACATTATGATTCCATGTCTATATTCTTGAAACAACATTTCAGAAAAGAAAAATAGATTAGTGGTTGTCAGGGGTTAGGCCTGGGAGTTAAGGGGGAGAAAGGTGTGATTAGAAAAGAAGAGCAACACAAGGCATCTTTGTGGAATTGGAAATGTTCAGGATGTTGACTACGGTAGTGGACCCATGGATCTACACAGGTAATAAAACTGTATAAAACTTAATATATGTACATACATACACACAGGTAAAACTGGGTACAAGTAAGCAAGTAAAACAGGAAATGAGTAAGACTGTATCCATGTCAATACCCTGGTCAGGATATTATATTATACTATGGTCCTGTAAAATGTGATCAATGAGAAACTGGGCAAAATATACAGGGGGTTTTTCTGTATCTTACAACTGCATATGAATCTACAATTACCTCAATTTTTTAAATGCAATTTTTAACTACATGAAAAATAAAATGCTTTATAAAACAGAAAAGTAACAATAGAAAACAACTTAACCTAACTATGAATAGTTTTTACACAATCAAAAACTAAAACATTGAAAAATGAAATAACTAAAATTGTGACTCTATTGTAAGGGTCTGAGGGAATGTGCTTGTACATGAAGGGATATGGGATGAGAGGCTGAAAAAGACAGCAATAATCTTATTGTTCAGAAAATCAATAGGTGAAGCCTAAAACTGAAAAATTCAAAAGGTAGCAATATTAGCATGTCATTCAGATACAGGGAAAACAAAATGTTTAAATCCATTAAAAATAATTGAGAGGAGCTCACTATGGAATGAGAATTTTGTAGGTTGGGAGGAAGATCAAGAGAATGTTTTATTTTGGGGGGGACGAGGGTGTCATAAGGTATATGTGTATTTACTTGAGGCATAATGCCATACAATTCACCTATTTAAGTATACAACCTATAGACTTTTAGTATATTCAGAGTTGTGTGATCACCACCATCAATTTTAGAATACTTTCATTTCCCCAAAAAGAAAACCTGTACCCATTAGCAGTCACTGCCCATTTCCTCCATTTCCTAATATAGGTAAATATAGGTAGATATAAGTATGAATAAAATAGATAGATTAAAAGTCACCCTGACTGCCAGCGGGGTGAAAAAAGTCACCACTGACTTCAGCATTTCCTACTGATGTTCTTTTGCTTCTCACTGAACTTTACCTCAGAGGCAATGAATTCTTTGATAGTAGTTGTGAGATGGTATTGGTGACAAACCAATCAAATATTCCAACACACCTATTGCATCATTTTTGTAATTGTGCTGAATTCAGAATAAAGCAACTCAAGTCTAAATACTTCACCAGTAACAGCAATACGTGTAAGACAGGAAAAAGCCTAAGGGTGATGAATGATAGAGCCTTTGCAGACACCAATATTTTGAGTTGGTTTTTTTTTGTTTGTTTGTTTACTCCTAGCCCCACCCCATCCTTGACAATGTGTCTTGGCAATATTCAGGATGGGTGAGTATAAAATGTATTCTGCTCAAAACAAGTGGTGGAAGAGTGATTTTAAAGGTAAAAGTGGAAAGGGCTGGCTCTCTACCAGGGGATGCTCTTGAGCAGATCATCTTAAGAGCACATAGAAACATAGAAACTGAAGATCTGTAAAGTGATATCCTTAAATATACATGCCACCAGCCTTTGGAAGTACTCATGAAGCTCCAGGGGTATCTGAATACCACATTAAGCTCATTGTTCTAATGTATCATGCTCTCTTTCATTTCCAAGCCTTCAACAATCTATTCCACAGAGCTAGAACTCTTTTAACACTCTTTTAGCCACCACTTTTAACACTCCAATGTTTAATTGTCCCTTGGCCTCAGCTCACATGCTCCTAGGTAAGGATGGATCCCCCTCCATTTCTTCCATAGCTCTCCATCTCCTATGTTGACATTTCAATGTGTCACCAACACCTGCTGACTTTCGTGTTTGGAGATGACAAGGTCTGGGTCAGAAATATTCACTACTCTATCCCCACACCAGCAAAGTGCCTACCTAGCATATAGTTAAGTACTGTCCTTTGAAAGAACAAATGAAGAAACATGAGGAGTCTTTTGTGAGGTTGACCAACCTAGAAAGCATGTAGTCAACGATTCTCTCCTTTTGTAAAAACAATCCTGGGGCTCTTGGCTCCCTACTGAAGGTTACGTCATCTCAGCAGTGCTTGGCTTTACTCCCCTGCATGTTTGGTGACTAGTACTCAATTCTGTAGCAACACATCTCCACCATCCCAGCTTCCTTCAGCCAATGAGGTCAATGAACCCAACTGCTGAATTAACTCCACCATGGTGGTCTGGGACAAGGCAGGAACATGCTTGGCAGCCAGAATAGTATCCAAGAAAAGGAGGCACACCACACCAATCAGGCCCATAGGAGAGAACACTGAGGTTGATCCCAGGCAGAAAAAGAATAGAGACTTTTTCTATAACAGCCTGGTATAATCAAATGACCCTTTAAATATGCACATGAATAGTTTTTAGGTTAAAATTTGATGTTTAAAAATGTCCTACTCTACTTCCTTTAAAGTTTAGGAGTGGAAGAAATTAGCAGATAAAAACTAATGTGATAAACATTATGCGAATATTGGACACTTTATCTTACCTATATTAGACAGTGCTCTAAGGACAGACTGCTGACAGTTCCATAGTTTTATAATCCTCTGTGATACCTAGCACATCATTAAGCTTTATTGAAATATAATTAACAAATAAAATTATAAAATATTTAAAGTATACAGTGTGATGATTTCATATACATTGTCAAAGGATTCCCACCTTCCAGTTAATTAATATCTCTATCACCTCACAAATAGGGAGGTAAAATTTAATAAGTAAAACTTAACATCTTCTGTCATGACTTCAAAACAATTTCTCAATAATCACAAAATTCTATTTTAGCTCTACTTATAAAATAAATAATGACAATTTGATTAAAATTTTTTATTTCAACAATATCTTCAAATATCCTATACCATCCCTCTAAAATATCTATGTGGATCAAAGTATAACAACTGCCTGGCCTATGTGGCTCAATGGTTGAGCATCAACCTATGAACCAGGAGGTCATAGTTCAATTCCTAGTCAGGGCACATGCCCAAGTTTCAGGCTCAATCCCCAGTAGGGGGCCACTGAAAGTCATTGAAAATCGATAACAAAAGCTAGGGGAATAAGACTTCAAAACAAATGAAAAGGCATACATTCAAACTGGAGAAAAAAGAAGAAATATGGTGGACCATATCTTCTCTTAATAAATATAGCTGAGAACTATATCTCAAATCATTCTGCATCTTCTTAATTATCACAAAGAAGTAACTTGCAAAAACACTTGTACTGCACTTTGCATTACTATCACCTTCAATGTTATTTCTAAAAAGCATTTTAAAAATCTCAAGAAATTCTTAGCACTTACTGCTGTAAGGCCTTCATTATTACAAATGTTGACATCAGCACTGTATTCTAATAATTTACTCATGCATTTCTTCTGCCTAAAAAGAAAGAAAGTCACAAATAACTGATACTAGAAATATAAACAAATAACAATTATTATGCTATGTAAAGTATCAATCCATATCTTCAGTATTTAAATAAACACTATAACATTTGAAATAATATACAAAATTGTTTCTATGACTCAAAGATAATAGGATAAAGAAAAGGCACAATAAGATTTTCATGTCATTGGACAGTCATCATTCAAAATGCTGAGAAATTTCTACTGTTGACTGAATATCTGAAATAGTAATTTTCATTAGCAATCTTATCTAATAAAGAGGGAATATGCTAATTGACCATCACACATCACAAAGATGGCGGCGCCCACAGCCAATAAGGAGGGGATATGCTAATTGACTGCCCCATCCTCAAAGATGGTGGCGCCCACAGCCACAAGATGGCCAGCAGGGGAGCCGGGCCGGCAGGGGAGGGCCTTGGGGGTGACCGGGCTGGCAGGGAAGGGCAGTTGGGGGCAACTGGGCCGGCAAGGGAGTGGTTAGGCATCGATCAGGCTGGCAGGGGAGTGGTTAAGGGGAGATCAGGCTGGCAAGCAGAAGAGGTTAGAGGAAATCAGGCAGGCAGGCAGGCAGGCGAGCGGCTGGGAGCCAGCAGTCCCAGATTGTGAGAGGGATGTCCCAGATTGGAAAGGGTGCAGGTTGGGCTGAGGGACACCGCCCCCCATGCACGAATTTCATGCACTGGGCCTCTAGTATAACATAAGCCTAATGAAAGAGGAATAATATATATAGCAAAAGCATGTCTCAATGTTGTATCCTACATTCATGATTATAAAATATTTAAAAGTTAATACTAAGATGAATTATAAAAACATAAGCACAAAATAAAATACATGTATATGCATCCCCCTACTTACTTCATTGTTTTTCATGTTTACTGTAGTAAAATACACATAACATAAAATATAGCATATTAACCATTTTTAAGTATACAGTTCAGTGGTATTAAGTACATTCATATTGTGTAACCATCACCATCCATCTCGAGAACTCTTTTCATCTTGAAAACTGAAATCCATTAAACAATAACTCCCCATCTTTTCTACCCTTAGCTCCTCACAACCACCATGGTACTTTCTGTCTCTAAAATTTGGGCTTATATAAGTCCCTCATAAAAGTGGAATCAGACAGGTGTTTGTCTCTTTGTGACTGGCCTAATGTTAGTCACAAAGACACTTAGCATAATGTCCATGAGATTTATCCACGTTTTAGCATATGTCAGAATTTCCTTCCTTTTTAAGACTGAATAATATTCCAAAATATGTACATACCACATTTTGCTTACCCGTTCATCTGTCAATGGATACATATTTAGGTTGTTTACATTTTAGCTATTGTGAACAGCTATGAACATGGGTACAGAAATATTTCTTCAAGACCCTGCTTTCAATGTTATTGGGTATATATCCAGAAGTGGGATTGTTGGATTATATGGTATTTCTATTTTTAATTTTTTGAGGAACCACCAAAATGTTTTTTAGAGCACCTGTACCATTTTACATTCCCACCAACAGTGGACTGAGTTCCAATTTCTCCACATCCTCATCAAAACTTGTTACTTTCTGCTTTGTTTTGTTGTTTTTCTTTGATAGTCATACTAATAAGTGTGATGATAACTCATTATAGTTTTGTTTTGCATTTCCCTAATGATTAGTGACAGTGAGTACCTTTTCATGTGCTTAGTAGCCATCTGTATATCTTTGGAGAAATGCCTATTCAAGTCCTTTGCCCCTTTTGAACTGCCTACCCATTTTGTTTTGCTCACAATGATTCATCTTAGCCTGATCCATTACTAGTTACTATTCAGTATTCATCTCAATGTCCCCTTCATTAAATAATAAAATGAAAATTCATGCTTTGGAAATAAAGTGATACACACATATGTGTGTATATAATATCCATTTCATATATGTGTGTGTGTGTATATATATATACATATATATATATATATATATATATGCTTTGATTAAGGAAATATGATATAGTCCATAGCATAAAAGTTTATTATCTAGTTGAATAAATAATTATGTGCATAAAAATACATAACAGTGTATGTGTACTATATTATATATACTATACTATGTATATATAGTATTAATAAATGAGTACAGTCTTCACATAGATAGTATATGGCATACAGAGTATTTAGTACATACAATATACATGTGTATATATCACTACTCAATTAGATCATAAATTTCTTCATGCCATGTATTATATCATATTTCTTTAATCAACTCAATACTAAACATAGCTAGTCATTCTCAATAAAACTTTATAGATTATTATTAATCTTACAAATCAACAGCTACAAATTTTATTGACTGAACAAATCTTTTATAAGAAAAGAACAACCCAGCTGCCCTGACTCAGTAGCTGAGTGTCGACCTATGAACCAGTAAGTCACAGTTCGATTGTACAACTTAAGAGGAGCTCAATGAATGTTTGCTAAGCAACTTGAGTACTTGTTAATTCCTGCAGCTGCTTATGTTTTCAGACATAGCTTTTTGCTATAATTTCTTTATGAGTTCAAATTTGTATAGATTGAAGCATAGGTCATAAGGGAATTTTTAATAAATAATAAAAAAAAGTTAAGTACGAAAGGCATCCAAATTGATATTATGTCAGGGTTATGAACTCTTCTTATTCCTTTTCTCTTCACTGACCTGCCATGAGAGTAATGCAGTATCTCTCATATTTCTTCATCTTTAAAATGTAATGGTCTTGCCCTAGCTGGTTTGGCTCAGTGGATAGAGTATCAGCCTGCGGATTGAAGGGTCCAGGGTTTGATTCTGGTCAAGGACACATGCCCGGGTTGCAGGCTTGACCTCCAGTAGGGGGCGTGCAGGAGGCAGCCGATCAATGATTCTCTCTCATCACTGATGTTTCTATCTCTCTCTCCCTCTTCCCTTTCTAAAATCAATAAAAATATATTTTTTAAAAAATGTAATGGTCTCGCCAGCCATTAAACAAGAGGTCACCCGTTCAATTCCCGGTCAGGGTACATGCCCAGATTGTGGGCTTGACACCTAGTAGGGGGCTTGCAGGAGAAAGCCGATGGATGATTCTCTCTCATCACTGATGTTTCTCTCTCTCTCTCTCTCTCAATCTCCCTTCCTCTCTGAAATTAATAAAAACTTTTTTTTTAAATGTAATGGTCTCCAACTTAAATGTTCTCACCCCTCCGCAAAAAAGAAAGATAAATATATGAGTTGTGAGATGATGGTGAATGAATATGTTAATTAACTAGATGGAAGGAATAATTTCACAATGTACAGATATATCAAATCATTACAATGTATACTTTAAATATCTTGTTATTTTATCAATTATACCTCAACAAAGATGAGGGGGGGAAGTAATAGTCTCCTAAATGACTAAGTCTTCCTACTACAATTTTGGCCCTGCTGTGCACCAATTTGTCCTTTCATTTACAACTAGAGGCCCAGTGCACGAGATTCGTGCACTGGGGGGTGGGGTTCCCTCAGCCCAGCCTGCCCCTCAGTCCGGGAGCCCTCAGTGGATGTCCTACTAACGGCCACAGTCTGGCAGCAGAGGCTCAGAGCAGGCGTCCCGTGTGTGTGTGTGTGTGTGTGTGTGTGTGTGTGTGTGTATGTATCTGCGGGAGCCTGCCCCCAGCCGTGCCACGTAGGCTCGAAGCAGTTGCCGTGTGTGTGTGTGAGTGTTTGTGTCCCCACTGGGGGTCTGCCCCCAGCCACATTGGAGGCTCAGAGTAGGCTCTGTGTGTGTGTGTGTGTGTGTGTCTGCTGGGGGCCTGCCCCCAGCCACACCGTGGAGGCTTGGAGCAGGTGTCCCTTTCTGTTGATCTCTCAGGCTCCTGGCCTCCACTGTGTGTTGTACTCTCCCTTGAGCTGTGGCCAGGGTGGGGTGCTGCCTGCAGGACGCGCTTTCCCTGCTCACGGATTGCCGCAGCAACCCCAGGAACAGGCACACACGGGGGCTGCCTGCAGGCCGCCCTTTCCTGCTCTGGGATGGCCGCCAGCGATCCAGGAGCAGGCCTTGCTGGGTGCTACCTACAGGCCGCACTTTCCTGCTCACCGATCGCTGGATCGCCAGGGCACCCGGGGTCAAGCCCTGCTGGGTGCTCCCTGTGGGCGGCACTTTCCTGCTCTCTAATTGCCATGGTGTCTGGGCTAGGGGCGGGGCTTAGGCGGCGCGGGGCTTAGGCGGCACACGGGGGTCCCAGCTGGGGGCGGGGCTGCACACAAGGCCCGGATGGCGGCTCGCGCTGTCCCGCCCTGCCTGCAATATGCAAATTAGCTCCCATCTTTGTTGGTGGATAATTTGCATATCACGCTGATTAGCCCATGGGAGGCATAGCGAAGGTACGGTCAATTACCATCTTTGTCTATTATTAGATAGGATTCTTGAAACAGAGTACTGAGATATTTTCTATATGTAACTTTTTCACAGACCTTTATTATTATCCTACTAGAACTAGGGATAAGGTATCTAGACCTGAGATTAATTCAGCAAGTAAATAAATAATCTACTCTATGATTTAGGGGGTGACCTCCTACAACATACCTAATGTGGCCAAGTATTAAAAAAACAATAAGCTGTTACCTAAACTAGTTCATATGCCAAATCAGAAAATGGGGAAGACCAGATAGGGTCAAAGGACTATATGCCTTTTCCACTCCAACCTAGACATCCCTGAAGTTCTTGTTCTTTGGGTTTCACCTTAATCCTTGTATGCAAAAATTTGTCTCAGATTGATGCAGTAGACAATTTTAGCCCCATATCCCTATCTAGAATCCCAGTTCAGAACAGAAAACAAAAATATTTTCAAGAGTAAACAAAAGAAGAGACACATGGAAATATACTTTCATAAAGAAGTTTTATAGCATTAGAAAAATGTTTATAAGGTCCTCAAACTCACAATCAAAAACTACTTATTTTCATTTTGAACATAATTCCTATCATTTTTACCTGGTTTCTCAGTCAAACAGAATTTTAAGAAGTAATAAATAGTGGTAGATGCAGACAGAGATGTGACATCTAAAATTTTTTACAAAAAAGGAGAGAAACCCATAAAAAGTATAGTAGGATTTAAAAACAGTACACAATAACATAATGATGTTCATAATGATGACCAGAGTTACCAGGAAAAGGCAAAAATTATATTCACATTTTGGAAATAATACTTTCATAATGGAAAAATGCTGATTTAATTAAAAATTTAAAAGAGGGCTAGCAAGCACATTATTTATTAAGGAAACATTTTGTTGTAACTAAAATGAAAAGCAGTTTTGGCACTGACAGGAGTAATCAAGAAAGCTTACTCCATGCCCTGACCAGTGTGCTCAGTTGGTTGGGTATGGTCTCATGCACTGGGCTCGTGCAGGAGGCAACGTTCGATGTGCGGCTCTTACATCAACGTTTTTCTCTCTCTTCCTCTTCCTTCCTCTCTCTCTAAAAATCAATAAAAATATTTTGAAGAAACAAAAAAACTTTCATCCTTAAAAATAAAATAAAAAACAAAGCTAACTCTATCTAGTATAGCTCATTCTCAAATAGTTACTATGAATAAACTGGATATAATAATATTTACTCTGGCCCTGGCCAGTTAGCTCAGTTGGTTAGAACATCAACTGGATACGCCAAAGATGCAGGTTTGATCTACAGGCAGGGTACATACAAGAAACAACCAACAGATGCATAAATAAGTGGAACAAAAAATCGTTGTTTCTCCCTCTGTATCTCTGTCTCTCGCTCCCTTCCTCTCTCGCTCTAAAATCAATGGGAAAAAACACACAACATTTAATCTGCATTTAATTCCATAAATAAAATTAACTAAATAAGCAATTTGGAAAATACAACATGGAATAAACTGTGACAAGAGATTAGCAGGAAAAAGAATACCTTTTAAGGCAAAAACCTTTCCTTTCAGAAAATAAAATGTCACTATAAACCAGTGATTCTCAACCTGTGGGTCGCGACCCCTTTGGGGGTCGAACAACCCTTTCACAGGGGTCGCCTAAGACCATCAGAAAACACATATATAATTACATATTGTTTTTGTGATTAATCACTATGCTTTATGTTCAATTTGTAACAATGAAATTGGGGGTCACCACAACATGGGGAACTGTATTAAAGGGTCGCAGCATTAGGAAGGTTGAGAACCACTGCTATAAACCAAGTAAAAATTAACTTCAACACATATATTTTCAAGAAGAAAAATATCGGTAAACAATTTCATAAATTATTAAATATGATAGTTATTTAACAATTAAATATAATGACCCAAGACCAATACAGGGGGAAAAAATCAAATCAATGTAGAGTGCCTTGAATAATAATAATACAACTTAATCTACCTAAGAAAACGAAATATTTACCCATTTCTAGCTGCCAAATGAAGTGGTGTACAGCCTGAAATATCTTGATAGTTAGGATTTGCTCCTTTCTTTAACAGCAGAACCAAGCATTCCACAGATCCACAACTAAAACAATATTAAAAATAGATCAGATACATTCAACACAGCCAAATTGATATAGCTTAATTAAAGAACAAAAAGCTTATTAAACACATTATTTTTGAGGTCCATATTAACCTAAAAGATGACTTCTGTCACAAATAATAAATATCCTCTACTTTAAAATATAGGATGGGGCAAAAGTAGGTTTACAGTTGTTCCTATGGAAAATAATACAATAACTAATAAATAATAACACAAGAATAAACTCTGTTTCATGTACTCACAACTGAATACCTATTTTTGCCCACCCCTGTATAAGGCCAATGACCATGTTTAGTTAGCATATAAAATCTCATATTGGTTGGATAAAAGAAAAATTTCGATGAATGAGAGTCTAAGTATTTCTAAAAAAGACAACCCAGTGCCTAACATATTCTGCTTTGATCTAGAACAAGCTAAGACAGTGGATATTAGACTAGAGTCCAATCCCCAGGTTAAAAATATATTTAGGTAAAGAATGTAAGCATAGCACACTATGCCCTTAACATATAAAGAACCATTCAGATGTCTGTTCTCATTTCTCTCCATAACTACCCTGGGCCAACACTGATTCAAATCCTACTACTACTGATCATTACTCTAGACGAGAGTTCAATTCAAAATAGCTTTAATCTTACTTTGCTGCAATGTGAAGCAAGCTTCTTTTCACACGTCCAAATGCATAATTAACATCAAACTTTGAATTTGATAGTAGTTCGGAAACAGATCTACACAAAAGAATATTAAAAGAGTTGATACATTTTTTTAAAGTTTTAAAAAACAAAGATCTAGAGTTAATAGCTCTTTAGTTACTCTTATCAATATATTTAAAAAATTCTATCCCACATAAACCAAAAAAATGGGCACTGTTTTCTAAGTGTAGCATGGCATCCAAAAACCAACTGCTCTGACATATGAACTATTGCTGAATGTTTCCTTGTCTGCATTCTGTGTAATCTGCTCTGAGGCTATCCAAGTAGTCCTCAGCTCCCCTTAGAATGTTTTTTAAGAAACATAACTTCCTTTTTAGGAGATATATATATATATATATATACACATACACACACACATATACATATATATATATTCTACCTACACTAAAAAAAGAGAAACATGTAAATTGGTGTCACTCCGCTAAGCCCACCAGCCAATCAGAGGAGTATGCAAATTAACCCAGCAAAGATGGTGGTTAATTTGCATACGCAGGCACTGAGCGAAGACTGAAGACTGAAGACTGAAGACTGAAGACTGAAGCGGCCGCAGGGGAGAAACCAAGCCTTGAAGCTTGGCTTTTCCGCTGCAGCCGGACCAAAGGCCTGGGTCCCGGGTGCCGGAGGAAAACGGGTGCCGGCAGCCAGGGGAAGGAAGGCCTATTGCACGAATCTTAGTGCAGCGGGCTTCTAATATATATATATAATGTTTTTATTGATTTCAGAGAGGAAAGGAGAGGGAGAGAGATAGAAACATCAATGATGGAGAATCATCTAACAGCTGCCCCCTGCATTCCCCCTACTGGGGATGGAGTCCACAATCTGGACAGGGCATGACTAAATCTAACCGTGACCTCCTGGTTTATAGGTCAACACTGAACCACTGAATGACACCGGCCGGGCTCCCCTAGAATACTGAGAAATAAGGAGAGTAGGGCTGGCTGCTTCCCTTGCAGAAACCTGAGCCCATCTATATTAATTTTGTCCAAATAAGAAAATCAAAGACAAAAAAACACATTTTAATAATATCAGATAGGAAGTTTAAAGCAAAAAACTTGTTTCAAAATATAGTTTTCCTTCACTTTCTTCTCACTACACCAAATTACCTAATGGTTAACCATAGCAGAGCTGTCTGCTGCAAGTGTAAACACCTCATCCCACAGTCAGATAACTGTACCTTATATGACCAACCAAATACCTGACTTAATATCTGACCATTCATTTAGAAAATCTCTTACCATAAGATCTCAGAAAATCTTTTTTCTTAATTCACAGACAGAAAATTATAACAGGTTAAATAACTTGCCCCAGGACAACATCTATGAACAAACTGTGTGTGTGCATGCACGTGTGCATGCGTACATGTGTGTATACTAGTACACGACATTTAGATAAATTTATACCTCTCAAAAAGTATAAATTTGTAAAATAGGAACTCACCTGTGTTGATCAGCCATAACCATTGGCATTAATGTATAAACAGCAGTTTCATTATCTGAGTAAAACAAAAAAAAAAACAGAAAAGAATTCATTTATCTCAGACTTTATCCAAAGGGTAATACCTAAAATTATCTTAAAATTTTCTTAACTCCACATAAAAAGTGAGAAGAGGTAAAAAGTTAAGGTTAGTGAAGAATACCACAGGTATTGCAAAATTTGCAATGCATATTTTCTTATCCTCTCTAATGCTCATTCCCTCTACATCACCACAAAACTTCTTAGCTTCTAGATCTGAGGGAAAAATTAGAGCCCTAACAATTTCTGTAGCTTTAACAACTAAAATTTCTTTTAGTTCCAAAGAGGTGTTTATTGACTTCATGTTTTATCATACTTACATGTACTTTGGGGAAACTTATCCTTATAATAAAAGGGTAATATGCAAATCGACAGGACTGCAGAACACTGGTCGCTATGGCATGCACTGACCACCAGGGGGCGGATGCTCAATGCAGGAGCTGCCCCCTGGTGGTCAGGGGGAGCTCTGCTCAACCAGAAGCAGAGTGCCAGAAGCAGGGTGAACGCAGTGTGGTGACAGGAGCCTCTCCACCCTCCCAGGCAGTGCTAAGGAGCAGCCAGCCTAGGGCAGTAGTCAGCAAATTCATTAGTCAACAGAGCCAAATATCAACAGTACTTCTTCAAAATAGACTCGCCCAGGCCGAAAACAACTTCTGCGCATGGGCCACGGAGTTTCAATCGCACTGTACACGCGCCCGCACGTGGTATTTTGTGGAAGAGCCACACTCAAGGGGCCAAAGAGCCGCATGTGGCTCGGGAGCCGCAGTTTGCCGACCACGGGCCTAGGGTAAGGAGCAGCAAGCAGGGAGCCAGGGCTCCTGAACTGCGAGAGGGATGTCTGACTGCTGACTTAGGCCTAGAGAGCAGGGCTAATCAAGCAGACATCCCCTCAGGTGTCCAGGACTGTGAGAGGGCGCAGGCCGGGCTGAGGCCCCACACCCCCCTAGTGCATGAATTTTCGTGTACCGGGCCTCTAGTAAGTATATATGGATATTAAAGCTATATATGCTAAATAAGTTTAAATACATTAAACATACATGCTTGCTTCTTGCCAATATTATAACAAAAGGAAATATTTTAGAAGCTTTTATGAAACAGTATTAAAATCTTATTTTTACTTATTACTTTTAATTATTCACATCTTCATTTATATCTTTTATAGAAAAAAATTCACACAAACATGTTCCAAAAGAAAACATCAATGATGCCATATTATACTTATGTAAGTTTCAGCGAGTTATTTACAAAGAAGTAACTCTGACAACTCCCATTTAGCCCTTAAAACGTTAATATCACCCTGGCCAGTTTTGCTCGTGAATAGAGCATCAGTCCACAGAATGAAGGGTCCAGGGTTCCATTCTGGTCAAGGGCACGTATCTGGTTTACAGGTTCAATCCCTGGCCCCAGTCGGGCTGCACGCGGGAGGCAACCAATGGATGTGTCTCTTTCACATCCATGTTTCTTTCTTTTTCTCTCTCTCTCTCTCTCTCTCTCTCTCTCTTCCTCCCTCCATCCCTCTCCCTCCTCTCCTCCTCCCCGTTCTCCCTCTCCCTTCCACTCTCTAAAATTCCTAAACTGCAGGGATCACGCCTTATTTCTTTGTAGAAGCTCCCCAGCCCCCACCTATGTGTGACAAATAAAGAATGAAAACGGCCCTAACCGGTTTGGCTCAGTGGATAGAGCGTCGGCCTGCAGACTGAAAGGTCCCGGGTTCGATTCCGGTCAAGGGCATGTACCTTGGTTGCGGGCACATCCCCAGTAGGAGGTGTGCAGGAGGCAGCTGATTGATGTTTCTCTCTCATCGATGTTTCTCTCTCATAGATGTTTCTCTCTCATCGATGCTTCTAACTCTCTACCCCTCTCCTTTCCCCTCTGTAAAAAATCAATAAAATATATTAAAAACTAAAACTAAAAAAAAAAAAAGAATGAAAACGGAAAGGCATATTAAAGAAAAGTGTAAATATGTCTACTAGTACATAGAGTATTTTAAGAGTACAAGTTTGGCATGTGCCACCTTATTTATCTTTTGTCAAAATACAACAGTGCTCCACGCTTTCAAACAGTAAAGGCTGCCGAACCGCCCTCGGCAGCCTCAAGTAAACAGCACTGTCCGGGGAGCATCCCTGCCTCCCCAGCCGGCAGCGGCAGTGAGATGACCACAGCCGGGATGTTTCTGGGACCCGGGTCCCCGCCATCCGCCTGGAGATCCGGTCTCTTCTGCTTCCTCCACCCGTCGGACCCGCACAGCCCAGCGCTTCCCGCAAACCCCACCTGCCCCGGCGGGAGCGGCGAGCGCCGGGCGCTCGGGGGTCCCAGTC